CTTTCTTCTCTTAGATGTTCTCTAAACCCTTAAGAAGGAAAATATTCAAGGATCCAACACTCTTGTTTCAAAATCCACACCATATGATTCCTTCTGTTAAGAACTAACCCTTCCTTCATTCTTTCAGCCTATAGAAATCCATCCCTACTTTGAAAGCATGGACTTATTCCTCTACATTTTATTCCCAGTTCTGGAAGCTTCTGTTTTGGATCTCCAAATCCTATTTAGACTCAGGACACTGTTTCTTTGCTGCATTGATTCTTCCATATGCTGCATCTAACATCTCTGAGTACAATTCCAAGCACCTTTTGAATATTCGGTAATTACTACAACAGTATACAGGGAGTAAATAGAAAGATTTCATACAGAGTACAAGTATTTATTACATAGTGGATGCTTTTTCATTCAATAAATCTTCATATTGCTGCCTTGTTCCCAGCACTATTGAGTTTTAGTAACGAACTATAGAGGTGGCTCACTTACACTTAGAGAAGAGGATAATAAATCACTAGGTAGGTAACATGTCAAATGAAACGTTCTGCTGACAGTGAGAGCATGGAGGAGAGATGGAGAGCAGGTGTAAAAGGATGGGCCGTCTGGAAATGTATGTCTGATTAGGTGACATTTGAACAGAGTCAGGAAGAGAGCTTTGTGGAAGCTCTGCTAAGGAGAGGTGCAGTCACTGGGAACTAGGCAGAAGCAGGGAGGCAGCTGGGGAGAATGTTTTGACTTTTTTCTCTTTCTCTCTGATTTTATGCCAGTAATTTCCACCTGGAAGTGCTGTCTTTGAAGGCCAGACTCCTAGGGCTCAAGGCAGAGCAGGATGTGTCTGGGGAAAGGTGGTAGTGACCAGAGATGATCTTGTACTGGGAATTAGAAGAAAAATGGTTCCTTGATATAAAGAGGAAGAACAAGTAGCTCTTAGAGGGATTGTGCAAGCTGCTGAGCCTGCTCATTCAGCTGGATGTCAACCCTCTTAGCTCTCAGTGGACAATCTGGGTAGGTGGTCTTTGCTGAAGCAGCTGAGTTTGTGAAGTGAATAGACCCTTTGTGTGGTCAACAGAACCAGTTCCTGTCACACTTGACTTCCCATTTGGCTATTTACATTGAGTTGGAGTGTTATGTACTACTATACCATTTTCTATCTTTCCCCAACTCTCATTGTTTCACTTAACAATTATACACACACACACACACACACACACACACACACACACACACACACACTTTTGGATCTGCTTTGCTTTAACTCTACAAAGCTCTTTGAGAATAATATAATTCAGTTTGGTTCAAGGGGCGGACTGGGATTCAGTCTTAAATTTAGACAACTTCATCTTGAGAGCAGGAATTCTTACACAGATGAAATTGTAAAGGTGATGAGCTGTTCTATCTAAGCCAGAAGTATGGGGGCTGGGGATTTAGCTCAGCGGCATAAGCACCTGACTTGCAAGCAGGCGGTCATGAGTTCAATCTCCCATACCAATAAAAAAAAAATTTTTTAAAAAAAATGCCGGGCATGGTGGCTCATGCCTGTAATCCCAGCACTCGGGAGGCTGAGGCAGGAGGATCATTGTGAGTTCAAGACCAGCCTGGGCTACAAAGTGAGCTCAAGGTCAGCCTGAACTGCATAGCGAGACCCTGTCTCAAAAAGACAAAAAAAAAAAAAAAAAAGCCAGAAGTACGGAAGGGATGCTGAGTGGAAGTCTCCCCAGATCCAGAGGTGGAAGCTCTCTGAAGAGTCCAAGTCCCAACCAGTATTGTTTGATGCTCCTTCCAAATACAGCGTCTCCTCAAAAGGTGATGTTGTAGATTAAGGAGAGATGTTCTTCACAGCAGGCTCCCAGGCCCTCTGGAGAGGCCCTCCTGCATCTAGGCCTCCTCCTGGTAATTGCAGCACAACCTGCAGGTCCTGGCTGTACTGCCTCCCTCTCTGATGCCCAGGAGGCTGGAGTAGTCAGGGAGGCAAGGGATTCTCAAAGGCCTGCAAGGATTGAACTCTTTGATTGTAACAGGTTGGAGGGGTGTAATTGACATGACAACAGGAAAGATAGTGGAGAAAGGAAAGAGATGGGGTAGGGCACTGTAAGACTTCTATTTCAATGAAAAAAGCAAATAGGCGGGCTTTTGAGAGGGAAAGTAGAGCGCAGCAGTCAGGCAGAACAACTGGGAATTTCTGAGTCCTGCGTATGCATTTGCTGTCAGCAGGATAATACTAGAGATAAACATCCTTCTTTTAATTCTCGAACACTTAGAAAGTTGACAAATACAATTGGTTTAATCCTTTCAGTCCTGGTTCTGTTTGGAAAACTTCTCTTGGGACCTATTTTGTATACATGGCAAACTTCTCTGGGACCTGTCATTGTATGCATGTGCTAGAGCAGGATTATCTGCTGGGGTCCATGAGTTGAGCCAGTGTGTCTTAAGAGTGAAAAGAAAGATTTTTCTTTTTATTTATCTTGCTACTTACTGTGTAAAAGGAAGGCAATATACAGACCTGAGATGCTGATGGGCAGTCTGTGGGAAATGTCTCATTCAGCCACAAGTTCCTTAAACGATGACTTGGGGCTCTCTAATTGAATTTTAGAGTGATCACATGAAAGAAACAAATTTTGAGTCAGTTTATGCTCTAACGAAAAATTAGAGTTTCATTTAATTCAGTAGAAGCTTTGCCATTGTCAGTGGAAACCTCTATATTTCAGAGCCTCCACACATAAAAATGGGGCAAACATCATATCATGTGGGTGTTTGGATTCAATGAAACACAGCAAGCCCCATAAGCAATCACCAAACAGTATACGTGGCAATCATACGGGATCTCCAGGGAGCTAGACATGGGGAAATATAGGGAAGGAAATGAAGCAAGTTTCTTGGAATAAGCTTGACTTATTGGAAGTTTTTAATATTTCACACTAGTGAATTAGAGGTCAAGTCTAAAGTGAGAAGGGATAAAAGTAACCAGAAACAATGACAAAAGATTTTCCAGAGAGTCAGTCACCAAATTTACTGAAGTAAGAAAAGACTGACAAGTAAGTTAATTATGGCTTTTATTTATACCCCACAAATTCTGTCCCCAAGAGAGTTTTTATTTCCAAATGGCCATTTTGCTTTATGTGTTAGTCTTTATGACTATTTCCTTCATGTCCAGATGGGGCGAGCTGCTCAGATTTGTCCAAATAAATTATTCTTATTAGAGATATATTAGAATACATGTTAAATTCTATGTTAGGAATCTGCTACCGGCAACTAATAGAAATTTTCAAGTGGAATTATTTGTATTTAAAAAATATTTTTGGAATGAAGTTGTATTATTTAACATTTTTTTAACCATAGAATTTTCCAAATATAAGCTCAAATAGAACAACACAAAGAGTCGTCCTAGTTTCAACAATTACCAATTCGTGGCTCTTCTTCTCACTTCTGTGTCACTTTATTTACCTCCCCACAGGATTTGAGGTAATCTCAGACGTCAGACTATTTCAGCCATGAGTATTTCATATGCATCTGAAAAAGACAAGGACTCCTAAAAACCTTTGAACATAAAAACTAAAATTGAGAATACCCAATATCCAGGCAGTCTTCAAATCTTGAATTATCTTATGAATACGTTTTCTTTGTTTAGCCCAGATCTCAATGAATCCACACATTGTGCTTGATTATGGATAGACTTTTCACCTAAGTTTTAAATTTGGAATAATTATACACTCACAAAAACTTGCAAGTGATACTGGAGAGGTCCTGCATGGCTGTCACCCATCTTTCCCCAGTGATAATATTGTAACTGGAGTGTGTTATGAAAACCAATTAATATGGATACAAAACAATGAACTGGATTATAGACGTTATTCAGAGCTTACCAGTTTGTGCATACATTTTCAGTTTTGTATGTCTGTGTGTATAATTCTGTAGCACTTTTCCTCACATATTCCAGTCTTCACTCCAAGCAAGGTACAGAACTTGGTGATCACCGGGGAATTGTCTCTTGTCATTCACCCCTGCTTCCTCTTCCTGAACCCCTGGAAACCACTGATCTGTTCTACATCCCTGTAATTTTATTTTTAGCAAATGCTATATAAACAGAATCATAAAATATGATATCTCTGCATTTCTATTGCTTTTAAAAATATTTTCATGTGAGCAGACAATATGGAAATAACAAGTTTTGAAAATAAAATGCCTCCCTACCAACTATAAGCCAACTAAATTTTATTCATTCACTATATTTTTGAGAATCTAAGATGCGCTCATGGCTCAATGGTAGATAAAACTATGTGTTTTTTTGGGATAGTGTCTGTGCCGTGTGTTTTGTTTGGGAAACTTGTCACAGTAGTATCTACAAGTCATAAAACCATTAGTTCTGTCAGGAAGAGGATGTTAGGTTTGGCCTAGTTTTTTGGTCTTTGCTGCCTTTTCTTCCCATGTCTGGGTTTTTCTGACTCCACCCAGATGATCAGCCTGTTTCAGTTCATTCAGGTTTTCCAAAAGTACAGCATCATCGGTAGCTTATACACAACAGGAATTTTATTTCTCACACTTCTGGAAGCTTCAGGGCCAAGATCTAGACATCAACAGATTCAGTCTCTGGTAACAGTCAGCTTTGAGATCATCGTTGATATCTTCTTACAATGTCTTCATGTGGTGAAAGGGACTACCTAGACTTCTGCAGCTCAGCTATAAGGATGCTAATTCAATCATAAACACTACCACCATGCTCTAATTACTCCCCCAAACCCCACCTCCTAATGCCATCACATTAGGGGATAGGAGTTCAGCATATGAATTTTAGGGAGATACAAGATTGGATCCATCGCAAACCTATCCCTGGTCTCAGATCCAACCAGGTCTCACTTGAAACACAGGTGATTTCATTCAGGCTGAGAGCCTCACCAATAACAAGACCATCCCTTGTTTGGCTCCCACTTGGACTTTATGCTCCAGTTCTAATTTTTTCATGTATGTGTCTTAGAATGTTGAGTTTCATACACGCATATACTGTATCTTAATCACACCCTCCCCATGACCTCCCTTACTCTCCTCCTCATCCCTTTTCCTCGCCCAAGTCTCCCTCCCACTTTCGTGTTATCCTTCCCTCCCGTAGATTCCACACATGAGAGAAAACACATGATAGTTGTAATCAGAGCATGGCTGACTTTGCTTAACATGACATTTTCCAGTTCCATCCAGTTTTCCTATGTATGATGTAATTTCATTCTTCTTTACGGCTGAACACTCCACTATGTATGTATACACCCCATTTGCTTTATCCATGCATCAGTTGACAGTCTGGGCTGATTCCATGGCTTGGCTACCATGAATTGAGCTACCATACACATGGGCGTGCAGCTACCTCTATGGTGATCTGACTCTAATTCCTTTGCATGTGTGCTGACGAGAGAAGGTGTGCCTGGATGCTATGGTAGTTATTACTGTGCTGTTCTTGTCTCTAAGTGTCCTCTGAGTGCTCACCCTGTGCTTTGTTCTGTGAAGAAGTTTCTAGATCTTGGCCACGATATAGTTGTTTTCTTTGGGGTCAAGTCCCTCTGGTGTTGTGCTCCTGAGTTTCTTCATCAACCTAGGGTTCAGATGCCAATCAAGTCTGATGACTGCAGAGGCTGTACCGATCCCTGCCAGCCTGTGTATCTTCTCCTTGCTTAATCCCGAATTTCTCATCCCCATTCTCCAGCCTAAGAACAGGCTCTCCGCTCTCCCACCCCGCTCCCACCTGGTTGATAACCTCTTTGCTACTACAGTTTCCTTTGCATTCAATTCTTCCTGACAGATTGGACGTGAATCATGTGTAAGTCTAGCTGACTCTCTCCTTGACCTTGGGAGGATCGAGTTTCCAGTTTTTGGTTTTCTGGCCTGGTTTGTATCACAAGACTGGGTCATAGTGTGCTTGCTCCAAAGCTTCAGTAAGTTTATTTCATGAGCTTCACTGATAACAGAAGGGAACTGAGTTAGATCAGTCCCTTCCTGACTAAAAGGGATATTAGTGGCAGGAATATGGCCTGGTGGGGTTAAAACTATCTGGGGGACAAAAGATGGGTTGTGGCCTTAATTTTATCATCAACTCCTTGGTGACTTGGAAGAAACCCTCCTTTTGGAGCTTTGGTCTGTAGAGTAAGGAGACTGGTTTCAGGAAAGCCCCTAAGCTTTCCTCTGGCTTTGGTAGCCTAAACTGTTAAGGCCTAAATGTAAACCTGCTAGTAGTTTCCAAACCCTCTCTATCACCATGGACCAATCTGTGAGTATCTTTTTGTAAGCCCACAGATTAGTGGGCTTCATTTTGGTATATCTGCACACGCATAGATCACTCTTTGATCGTTATCCCCACCGTTACTCTCTCTCTCTGCCCTCCTTCCTCTTCTGCTCTTCTTTTCTGCTTTCTTGTTAGATGTCTTCCTTCTTCCTTCTTCCTCTCCATTTGCCCTCCTCTCTCCTCCATGAGAGGAAACACGCAGTGTTTGACTGACTTCACTTCAACGATGGTCACCAACTCCATCCACTTCCCTGCAATGACATGACTTCATTGTTCTTTATGGCTGACTAATAATTCATATGTTCAACCCTGGTACGTGAGGTTTCAGAACTGTTGACCCACACTGCCATGAGAAACAGCTTCGTCAATTAGAGTATAGCACCACGCTTCTGAATAGTTCTATTATATATATTTTGATGTCAGCATTGTTTTCAAATGTCATTTTAGCCCATGCTAGACATCTAGTGGCTGTTTTTGATTTTCAAATATCATTTCCTTTCTCCATCCATCCGTCTTTGGGTACCTAGGCAGTTTCCATAGCTTCACCATTGTGAATGATGCTGCAATTCCATGGCCTGGCTAATATCTCTACAGGATGCTGAACTTAATTCTCTTGGGAATATAGCAGGCATAAAAGACCTAGATTAAATGGTAGGTTTATTTTTAGTTGTTTTGAGGCACTCCCATACTGCTTTCTGTTTTTGCCAGATTACCGAGAATTTACATTTTTTCCACTATAGTCAGAATCATAAAAAATGCAGATATAACATATTATCTCCCTTTAAAACCTTTCAGTGCTCAGATCCCTAACATTTGCCCCACCACTGACTTCAATCTAAATTTATAACATGACTTATCTTCCTCATCTCATTTTAAGCCACTCCAAAGCTTCACGATCTGTGGCTCAGTCGTGTTGAAATTGTTTCAGTTCCCAGTTGATGGCTTGCCTATTGTAACTCATTGCTTCAGGTCCCTGTCTTTCCTGTGTGGTCCTGCCTTCACGGCTTTGTTTTCCATGTTTACTGCACATGGCCGAAGCAGTATTTAATTAAGGATGAGTGGGTTGCATGAATCAGGGCTACTCATTCATTTATATTTTAATTCATTCGTCTTCCAACAAATGATGGTGATTTCACTGAAAGAAACACAAGCCCAATTCTACTAGATTAAATTTTTAAAAAGTGGCGAGTATATTTGGAATGTAATAGAAGTCCATAGATTCATGGACTCTTGGATAGGAATGAGATGATTCAGAAATTCCAACATGCTTGCCACTTCATCTTTCTTGTGCTTCTTGCACTTCTCTCCTTGTTCTTATATGCATGGTGCCTTTCTCCTCCTTCAGCTCCTGCAGGATTCACTTGCCTTCCCTTCCATCCCTTGAAAGGCAAAGAACATCTATATGAACTGGGAAAATATCTTAGCCAACTGTTCCTTAGACTTATATGTCTGTTCCTTAACTTTATATGTCTAGAACGTATAAAGAAGTAAAAAAAAAAAAAACATGCCTCCAAAATTCAAGGACCCAACCCAAAAATGGACATCTAAGGTGAATACATACTTTTCAGATGAAGAAATACAAATGGCAGATAAATATATGAAACAATGTTACAGCATCATTGGTCATTCAAAAAATGCAAATTAAAACAGCACTGAGATTCCATCTTACTCCAGGAAGAATGGTTAAGCTCAAGAAATCAACCAATAACAAATGCTGGAGTGGCTGTAGGGAAAAAGGAACTCTTCTCCACTGTTGGTGGGAGTGTAGGCTGGTGCAACCACTGTGGAAATCAGCATAGGATTCCTCAAAAAGCTAGGATTAGAGGTCCCATTTGACCCAGCTGTTCCACTTCTGGGCATTTTCCCAGAAGAATTCAAAACATCTTACCGCAATGATATATGTGCACCCATGTTTATAGCAGCACAATTGGTAATAGCCAAATCTTGAAAACAACCCAAATGCCCTTCAATCAAGGAATAGATAAAAAAAGTTGTGGTTTTTTTCTACAATAGAGTACTACTCAGCTATAAAAAAGATTACAGTGAGGCTTTTATAAGTAAATGGACGCGACTTGCGACCATACTTGTAAGTGAAATAAATCAGACTCACATGTGTAAATACCATATTGTCTCCCTAGTGTAAGAAAATGAAAGAGCAATTACAATCCAAAATCTACAGTAAGTATTGTGTAAGGTAAGAAACTGCTCAAAGAGGAAAAGTAACTGGGTTAGGACAGAGGAGGAAAGAAGGAAGGGAAAAGGAAAAAGTCATAAATTTGTATACATAAGATAGCTAAGATGACTATACTGCTAACTGTGTTAATTCTTGGAAAAGAACAGTTAATAGTCATACGATTAGATCAATTTTGCATGTATTTATCTGGTAATCTAAGCAACCCTTTTGAAGGTAACAATATGCAACATTACAACCATTGTTAAATTCCTATTATCTTTTTTTTGAAAACCTATAGTGTTAATTGTTTGGAGTTTGATGTTGTTATTTGTCTCTTTTGCTTTTTGTTTTTATTTTCTGTGTCTTTTTGCTCTTAAATAAATAAAAAATATTTTAAAAAAAGAAAAAAAAAGGAAAGGCAAAGAACTTCTCTTTAACCTGTAGATGATGAAACCATAGGGTAGATTCTTTCCACCCGGCTTGAGTCAAAATGTCGACAATGAAGAGGCTCTTAGGACAGCAAGATGTCCTGTGGGTGAGTGTCCAAGGCAGTGCCCACCCCTTGGACTGGCCTGGAGGAGAGAGAGCTACCACAGACACAACCTGTCACACAGGCAGGAGTGCAGGCTCTGAAGTTGAATTCTAGATTCAGAACCCAGCTCTAACTCTCACTGAGTGAATTTAGCAAGTCATGTAATTTTTCTGTGTTCTTTAGAATGGACACAGTAGTACTTACAGTAGTAATTACAGATTATTGTGAGAATTAAATAGGTCAATCTATATAAAACATAATAATTGCTGAGTGCATGGTAAATGCTATGCTAGCATTTGTGGGATAAAAATAAACAACAAAATAATCCAATTGAGTTGCATCTTCCCAAGAAATAGCCACTTTCTTCATATTTAATAAGAATCTTCTAGGCACAAGGTACAGTTATTAGTGATTGAGATACACTAGGGATAATATGGACAAAATTTTACCCTTTACTATATTTCACGGAGCTACAGACAATACAGAAGGGATAGATTTGAGGAATCTGCCTCTTAAATTAGGAATTATGGGCTGGAGACCTGCTGTGACATTTGCGGTTTTTAGCTCATGCGAATGTAGCCTAATTAATGAGAAGTTATTGCTTGGCCAGGTAAAAAACTGCCAGAGTTGGGAGTGTTATCAGGTATGGCACAGTGAACTGGGCTCCCTGATGTCAGCCTCCAGCAGGGGAGAAAACTCAACTATGCATTAAAGAATGAATTATTCTTCAAGCAAAGCTTTGTTTTTTTTTCTTTTTGGTTTCCCTGGGCATGTGGGTGAGAGTGAGTTGGGGCTGGGAAATATGAGATTGTGAGTTTTTAGCTAAAACTGGCAAAGGACAGTTGTTCTGTCAGTTGGGAGCCAAATGGAAAGGGACTTCATCTACCCACAAAGGACATTATTTTCTTGAACAATGTGACAAGACATAGCAATAATATATGCATACTATAGTAGTGTATAGTAGTGTACTTGTATAAATGTATAAAGTACTATACATACTATAGTAGTGTATGGTAGTGTACTTGTATAAATGTATAAAGTAGCAATGTATATTGAATCTTTTTTATAATAAGCCTGGTTTTCAGTATTTCTTTCTGAATCATTTTAATTATCAAAATACCACAACAATTATGCTATTTTTGTTAACTGGAATTGGCTAACTATGTCCTTCAGAATTAAGATGAAAAATTTTCCAACAGGTCTTTTATCACATGTCATGTCTTGATTTTCATTTTGTGGTTAGGGTTAGGCGATAGATATTAGGGAGAGTGTAAAGATTAGGTTTACGGTTAGGTTTAATTTTATGATTAGGTTTAGGTTTAGGCTTAGGGTTAGGTGTAGGGTTAGGGTTACATTTAGTGTTAGTTTTTTTTATTTTAAAAACAAAAAAAGAAGAAAAATGATGATACAGAATTTCAAAAACAAAGTGACAGGAGATGAACACTGGTTAATATATTGCTTATTGTTATCTTCAAGGCAGTATGAGAGAAAATAGCCATTAAATATACTGTACGTACATATTCTTGATGTTTGGTCAGAATTGTTCCCCAGTGATGGTATTCCTCTACCAATCTCTTACAGGGTTAGGGAAACGGTTTGTGGGCACGAAGTGAAATCTTTCATTCTCCAGTGAGAAAAGTGTCTGCATGTGTAATTCACTCCTGTATCTCTGCTGCCTGAAAATGACAATGACTACTTTCATTGAGTGCACAGTACGTGTGGGACATCTTGTAAACATTTCTTATGTGTTATTTTACTTGACTCCCCCTCCCCAAAGCTTTATAAATACATTTGCTTTTTTCTTCCATCTCCTAGGGGAGGAATCTTCGACTTACATATGGTGTGACCTCTTCCAAATTGTCCGCCTGTAAGTGACAGAGTCAGACTGGAACTCAGGAGCTCTGGGTAAGAACTTGAGTTTGCATTGTTGCTAGATGACCTGGAAAACATACAGAGGATCAATCTTTGTTAAATAAATAGATTGGAGAATGGAATGAAAATAAAGGGCTCATGCAAGACTTGGATTTTTCACTGTGGTATCCAGGTTTCCGGACTCTCACTTGCTGAACTACCTGGGACAGAGCTCCAGGTTCAGAAAGGAAACCCAACGTCCAGTATGGGTTTGAAAAGTTTAAACAGCAAGAATCCTTCACCTGCTCTAACAAGCCTGTAGGGAAGCCTGTAGTGGGTCTAGAGTCTGGGATGGATGATCACCATGCGTGCCTGTGTCTTATAGTCACTATCTCATTCATTCCGACATAAATCTAGGGGATAGAAATGATGAAGAAATTCTTTGCCTTACAGAGCTGGGGCATGGTTAGGACACCAGGCTACACGGAGTGGGGCAGATCTGGCCCTTGTTTCCCAGCAGAATGTGAACTTTGTCTTGAACTAACACTGCGCTCGATTTGTCTTCTATTTATTATCTTCCTTTGCTTTTTATGTAACTACCTTAGGATATCTTGTTTTCCTAACTGAGTGTGCTTCTTGAGACCAGGGCTGGTCTCTATTTCATCTTTGAAGAGTAATGGAATAAGGTCAATTAATTGATGTATGTAAAAGTATTTAAAATAAAAATTTTATTTGAGCACGATCATAAACATAGAGAATCTAATAGAGATATTGTATAGAGATCCCATACACCCCACAGAGTTTCCTCTGCTGTTGCCACCACATTATTGTGGTTTATTGGTTATAACTCATGAATCGATGTTGACATGTTATTGCTAATTAAACTCCACAATTTATTTAGGCTTCAGCAGTATTATTTTCTAATGTTCCTTTTTCTCTTCCAGTATCCTTTCTTTAGAGAATTCTGTGTAGTCATTATGTCTCCTTAGGTTCATCTTGCATGTGACAGTTTCTGAGCCTTTTCTTGATGTGATGACCTTACACATGTTCAAGAGTATAGGTCAGGTGTTTCACAGAATATTGCCCAATTTCAGTTTGGCCTCTGTTTTTGTCATGGTTGCACTGGAGCTATGGGTTTTGAAGAGAAAGGCTAAGATCAGACATACCCTTCTCAATACACTCTATCAAGTATGTATGCTATTAACCCCACATCACTGGTAGTCCTGATCACTAGCAGAGGTAGGATTTGCAAAGGGTTTCACTACCCCTCCCCCCACATTGTGATCTTTCTAAGTCATTAATCATCACTGACACTTATGGGTGGGAAGTTATGGTTTACTCTGAGAGGGGAGCTTCTACAAAAATTGTTTGGCAATCTATATGGGGAATTTTACTATTCTCTTCCACTCATTTATTCAGTCAGTCATTCTTCACTTGAGTCAGTGTGAATTTATGGATATTTCTGTTGTATTTTGAATTATTTATTCAATGTGAGATTATTGATTATTTTACTCTAATTATTCCAGTTTTGGCTATTGGGAGGTGTTTCTGTTGGCATCCATGACTTTTATACCTACTTAGATGGCTTTGAGTTTTGAGAACTTTCTTGCTTTCTGGTACCATAAGACACTTTAGGCTCATTTTGTATTTTCCTTGCTGTAGCCCTGGAATCAGCTATTTCTCCAAGGAGCGCTGGTTGTTTTGTTGGATAATGTGTTTAAAAACTAAAATCTTTTAGGTCATCTTAGAGACTTGGAGGAATTATACCTGTATATACAAACCTGTGTATGGACATATCTACACTTATTTTCAGGTATGACCATCACCTTTACTGGCTGTGTTAGGTAGAGCATGAGTTTCTGATGATATTCCTAACTCTGTACCACGTGATTCATTCTAATTTTTCCTCTCTCCTTATCTGTAATAGTGAGAAACTTGGCTCCACCACCAATTACTTATTTGCTCAATTCTCATATGCAAGGTTTCAGAACTATTATTTTATTTTTCAGAACAGAGCAATTTAAGTAACATAGTGTTTCACCACAAGACAGCCCGACATAACAGTAGCTACCACAGTGTCTCTTTCCTTGAAATATTTGAGTATACCGTCATACACTATAGTATCAAACATAACAAGACAATATAAAACCATTCAAGAGAATGAAAGTATTACAGGGTATTCAGAACCAATTAACAGAAAATGAACAATGATTACTCTATTATCTCCTTGTACATAAAAATTTGTTTATATTATCACATATAATAAAATCCAATAAGATACAACATGATAAAATCGATGGAGACAGAACAAAGGCTTGATAGGACTTCAAAACAAGGTAATATTATATCAGCACTAGCTATTATAATGTCTTGTTTTCTTCAAAATAGCTGTTCATACAATCACAGACAATAAAATCAAACACACCAGAATAAAACCATTCTAACTAATGAATGAAAACATTATAAGGTTTCAAAGCAATAAAATGGGGAATCATGATTACCACATACTTTTATGTATTTTTACCATTTCTTACACTAGGGAAACTATTCGGTATTTATACATGTGAGTTTGATTTATTTCACTTATGAGTATGGTCTCAAGCTGCATCCATTTATTTATAAATATGTCAATGTGATCATTCTTTATAGTTGAGTAATACTCCTTGTATAAAAATACCACAATTTTTTTTATCCATTCCACAGTTGATGGACACTTAGGTTGTTTCCAAGATCTGGCTATTACAAATTGTGCTGCTGTAAATATGGGTGCACATATATCACTGTGGTATGATGTTTTCAGTTCTTCTGGGAATATGCCTAGAAGTGGAATAGCTGGAACAAATGAGACTTCCAATCCCAGCTTTCTGAGAAATCTCCAGACTGACCTCCACAATGGTTGTACCAGTCTACACTCCCACCAACAGTGCAGGAGAGTTCCTTTTTCCCCACAGCCTCTCCAGCATTTGTTGTTGGTAGTTTTCTTGATCCTGGCCATTTTTTCAGGAGTGAGATGAAATCTCAGTGCGATTTTAATTTGCATTTCTCTAATGAGTAATAATGCTGAACATTTTTTCATGTATTTATTTCCCATTTGTATTTCTTCCTCTGAGAACCGTGTATTCATTTCAGATACCCATTTTTGGATTGGATCTTTGAATTTTGGGGGGTCTGATTTTTAAAAATTCTTTATGTATTTTAGACAGAAGACCTTTGTCTGAGGGACAGTTCACTAAGATTTTTTCTCAGTTTGTGGGTTTTCTTTTCACTGTGCTGGAGATTTCTTTTGATGTGCAGAAACTTTTTAGTAAGACGTGATCCCAGTTATTGATTCTGGGAAGTATTTCCCGTGTGGTTTGAGTCCTGTTCATGAATTCTCTACCTACCCTTATGTCTTCAAGGTTTTTATCCCATTTGTCTTCCAATAGATTTAGTGTTTCTGTTTTAATATTCAGATCTTTGATCCATTTAGATTTTAATTTAGTACATGGTGATAGGCATGGGTCTAGTTTTAGTTTTCAGCATATGGTGAGCCAGTTTTTCCAACACCAATTATTAAAGAGACTGTCATTCTTCCAGTGAACATGTTTGGCCCCTTTATAAAAGTTAAGGTGGTTGAGTGTGTTTGTAGTTGTGATTGTATCTTCTAATCTATTCCATTGATGTTCGGCTTTGTTTTTATTCTAGTACCATGTTGATTTTACTACTGTTGCTTTGTAGTATAACTTCAAGTCAGAGATTGTGATGCCTCCTGCCTTGCCTTTGCTGCTTAGAACTGTCTTTGCTATTCTAGGTCTCTTCTGGTTCAAGATGAATTTTAGGAGGGATTTCTCTAGATCTATGAGGTATGTTGATGATATTTTTATTGAAATTGCATTGAATCTGAATAACAGTTTTGGGAGATTGGCCATTTTCACAATATTTATTCTCCCTATTCATGAGCAAGGGATGTCTTTTCATTTTCTGAGATCTTCTTCAATTTCTTTTTTCAGTGTATTAAAATTTTCCCTATATAGATCTTTTACTTCTTTCGTGAGAATAATTCCGAAGTATTTCACTTTTTTGGATGCTAGTGTGAAGTGTGTAGCTTCTCTTATTTCTCTCTCTGTGATTTTGTTGTTAGTGTATAGGAATGCTACTGATTTTGAGTATTGATTTTGTATTCTACTACATTGCTGAATTTATTTGTTATATCCAGGAGTCTTTCAATGGAGTTTTGGGGATCTTCTATGTAGAGTATCATGTCATCTACAAATAATGATAATTTAACTTCCTCTTTTCCTGTCTTTACCTTTTTATTTCTCTCCCTTGTCTAATTGCTCTGGCTAGTATTTCCAGTACTATAGTACTGTTAAACAGCAGTGGTGATGAGGGACATCCTTGTCTTGTGCCTGATTTTAAGGTAAAGGCCTTCAGTTTTTGGCCATTTCGTATGATACTGGCTGTTGGTTTGTCATAGATGGTCTTTATCATATTGAGGTAAAGACCATCTATTCCAATTTTCTTAAAGGTTCCTATCATGAATGAATGTTGGACCTTATCGAAGGCTTTTCTGCTTCTATAGAAATGATCATCTGACTCTTACTTTTGGCTTTATTGATATGATGGATTACATTTATTGATCTATGTATGTTGAACCATCCCTGCATGCCTGGGATGAATCCCACCTGGTCATGGTGCTTAATCTTTATTATTTGATGCATCCTATTTGCCAGTATTTTATTGGGGATTTTTGCCTCTGTGTTCATTAGGGAGATTGGCCTGTAGATCTCTTTTTTAGGGTCTTTCTCAGGTTTCGGTACTAGAGTAATATTTGCTTCCAGGAATGACTTAGGAAGGATTGCTTCCCTTTTGATTTCACTGAAGAGTTTGAGGAGTGTCAGCATTAATTAAGTCTTCTTTGTATTTCTTGTAGAATTCCGCAGTGAATCTGTCTGGGCCTGGGCTCTTCTTTGTAGGTAAGGACTTAATTACATTTTCAATTTCATTAGTAGAAATTGGGTTATTCAGCTAGATCTTCTTGACCTAGCTTTGGTACTGCATATGTTTCTAGGAAT